ACCTGAGGGAGCTGGTTGACCTGACTGTGGTGTTGAATTGAGCCTTCGAGCAGAGGGTGGTGGGACCTACCGCAACCAGCTTCCTCTGCAGCCCAGTGTGACAGCTGTGGAGAATGAGGCTGATAGGAATGGCAAACCCAAAGCCTGGCTTTATTTCTACCACACACTCACACAAAAAGATATATACTCCCAGCCCCCTGCTGCTCCTCCTCCCCCCTCATAACTAACTCCTCTCCCCAGCCCCCTTCCTAAGTGTCCTTTTGCCCATCCTTGCCCTTCCTAATCATTTCTACCTCTCTGGTCTCTTTTCCAGGCTTTTAGCATTTATCCACATTTTCATATGCACACACAGGCTCTGTCTCTCTCTGTCTCTTCTCTCTCTCTCTCTCTCTCTCTCTCTCTCTATGTGTGTGTGTGTGTGTGTGTGTGTGTGTGTGTGTGTGTGTATCACACTCCAAACACACACACAAACAGGCACATAGTACAGGCTAAGACCTGCATATAAGAAAGAACATGTGGTTTAATTACTTCCCAAATCCATGCATTTTCCTACAAATTTCACAAATGTCACTTTTCTTTGCAGCTATATAAAATTCCATTTCTGTATGTACACCACATTTTCATCATCCCTTCATCTGTCCATGGGAATCTAGGCTGGTTTCATTTCCTGGCTCTTTCGAATAGAGCAGCAGTTGAGCACAAAGGTGTATGTATCTCTGTGGTAAGATATATAGTTGAGTCGTTAAAAAAAAAAAAAGAAAGAAAGAAAGAAAGAAAAAAAGCCTCCAAATGCTGCAGTTTTCTTCTTAAACAAGACAAATATAATGTCTCGCTAGAGACTTGCCAGAAAAATCTCCCCCGCAGAAACGGCCCTAAGCATGTTGCAGGGTTTGGCACTCAGCCCTATACAGTGGCATTTCATGTGACCAGCAATGGAGAAGTAGCCTTAAAAGAACTCCCTGAGTGGAAGATACTGAGCCAGCTCCCCTGGAGGAAGGAAGGTAGGAATGTCTTTGGCCCTGCTGATTAACCCATGTTTATGCCAGGAGGTTTCTTTAAATGGTTCGATGGCGCCACCAAGTGTCAAAGTAGTAGAATACAGTCTTGGAGACAACTTTATAACAATTAAGGGTGAGAGCTTGGCAAGTTTGTGGCGATCAGAGAACTTGAAAGAGGCTCGAACTCACGTTTTTCAGGTGTAGCAAGCACTTTTACCTGCTGAGCCATCTTGTCGGCTCAGGCCTATAGATTTCCAAAGAGCAGATTCAAGGGCAATGCCTTTCAGTTTGTGAACTGTGGTTTCATCCAGTGTTTCCCTGTGAAAATTGAAGAGGCTCTCAGAAGCAGCTTTTCTTCTGCGTGTTTGGGCTCACACTGCTAAGTAAAGCCCCAGTACTAACTCTTCAGAGGATAAGGCCATTTGCTCTCTGAACGTATTTGCCCTCCCTCCACAATTTTCCCTTCCGCCCCCTGTGGACGCTACTAATCCAAACTGTCAGTCTAGCTGAAGAAAAAGTACTGCTAGCATTTTGACATGGTCCTATGAATGAGAGAAAAGAAAAATGTCACTGTAGCCTGTAGCCATGGGTCATCCAGTGGGGTCATCACCACTCCGGCTTTCATAGAGGCGAGAAGGAGAGGAGTCTCATCCACAGGAAAGGGTCCGGAACAGGGTCACAAAAGCCACAAGGGCCTAAAGGAGCTGTGGGATTACAAGCAGCTCCGGGGGTGAGGGGGTGGGAGGGGAGGGTAGAAAAGGTGGGAGAAGATGAAGAGGGCAGGAAGGGGTACAATAACCTGGTTTGGCCTAAGGAAACTGCAAGATTCAGGTGAAAAATTCAGAAATAACCTGCTGCCATCTACAGTTAATATATGAGCCAATTAATTTCCAAGGTATCATTCAAATGCATATATATTCCTGGCTTCAAACTAAAGCCCCATGCTGTGTGGAAAGCTCCAGCTCTCACAGTCACTTAGGCTTCAGGTTGAGTACGGCGCCGCGCCTGCCACTTCCGGTATGGTTTGGGTAAAGTTGTCTTTTCTCCGTCTCTTGTCAGCACAGTGCGCATTCATCTCTCGAGGCTGCAGCCAGGGTTGCAGGGTGTACCTGCAGGGCGGTGGGAGTGAGCAGGAGAGACCAAAGCCTTTTAGAAGCACTTGTCCCCGGTTATGCCGCCATTCATCTGGAACAACCAGTTGACTCCAAGAGGAGGATTCTTCCATCTAAGGACACTTGCAGTTCCCTCTGGGAGATCTACACACACATGACATGGCCACCCGAAGCACTGAGCACTTCGTAGGCATTCATCAAACCTCCTTCCTCACTTTCTCGGAGCACTGATCCATTGCCAATAATTATAGTTAGTTATAAAACCGCAGTCATGTTTATCCTTGGAATTACCTTTCTCTCAAAGGTACAGTCTGCTGTCAAACGCTAACCCAAAATACAAGACCTTTGGTTTTGTTTTTCATTTCTTTGCTTGTTGGTACTCCAGACTAGCCTCAAACTCACAATCCTATTGCCTTAGCCTCCCAAGTGTTGGGATTGCAGTTGTTATACAACGGTGCCCAATTCACAAGGATGCCTGGCAACTTAAGGTGGGAACAGTAGAAAGATGAGATGAGGAAATTGCCATGTATTGAGTCTGCGCATGTATTAATACATTTAACCTTCCCTTGATCTACTATCACAATACATACAACCTACAGGTGAAGAGACTGGGGACCTATGCATTGCCTGATTGAGCAAACATTTGTTGAAGCTGGATTATCAGGCACTGGTGATGCAAGATGGAACAGCAGTCATAGCCCTGGTCTCTTGGACTCTGTAGGGTCTTACCTGGGATGATCCAGGAGGCAGAAATGAAGCCAATGATAGACTCTTCCACTGGTGAAGGATGTTGTGCCTGTTAAAGGGGGAAGAGGAGGGTTGTGTCTTGTTTTGGAGTTAGAGAAGATGTTCCTGCAAACAGACATTTCACTTAAGATGCTCTTAGAATTCATGTGGGTGGATAGTAAGGGGGCAGAAGTGAGATTGCAATATGTTTGAACCTGGATCCAACATGCTTCATATTTTTTCTGTAAGTAAATGCTTGCAGTGATATGATTCAGTTTGTGATACACTATATTTCTTCCTCCCCAGGAGACTGTGGGTCCTTGAACATCAGCCCCATTTCCTACTATGTGGTTCAATTAGTAAGCACAAGTAAATGATCACTGGGAGTTCTGCGTGTGTATTTTACTGGCTGTAATGCAATATGAAATTGCCCGTGTTTAATAAGGAATCTGAAAACACCTAGGTTACACATTGCGCGTTATTTCTTTAACCCACACAGTCTGTTTGGTTTTCAAACAGCCTTCTGAACACCAGGGCACTCCCATACTAACTCTTTTGACTCTGATGTTTGCTATTTTATTGGCTGGGATGATCCAGCTCAGCACTGAAAAGATGCGGCTGCTGAGTCAGCTCTGAAGCAAGTGGTGCTCAGAACTTACTCATCTAATTAAAATTAGTCTTGTCTTCCCTAAAAGCTGACAAGCTCAAGGCTCTTTTTCAGCCTGCAGCCCACACTGTTCTTAAAGATGAAAAAGGAACTCCCTTGTGCCAGCATTGGGAGGAAGATCGGGTGTACAAACCAAGGGGAAAGCCTGTGTAGAGATGCAATAAGTGTTGTTTCTTCCTGCCATTTAGTGACTCTCAGTCTAGTGGGAACACCTCTCTAACAAGTCCACATCTCTTAATACTTCCCAAATAGTTCCAGCAACTGGAACAAAGTAGTCAAGCGTATTAGCCTATGGGAGCCATTATCACTGAAACTACCACACACCCAGAGCCTATACACCCTACACAACAGTCAAGGTGTGCATAGGTGAAAGGCATGGCCACCTCCAAATGTGGGAATGAGGCCTTTCAGCCAATGTCCTCATGTCTAAAGTGGAAAGATAAATGGCTGTTGTCCAGGTGAAGAGGGTAGAGATGGGATGGGATAGGAATTAGCCAGCCTGTGCAGAGTCTCAAGGAGGAGAAAGGATGGCACCTTTGGAATCCACAATTTGCCCTAAGAGCCAGGCAGGTAATGTGCATGGTAGATTGCAGGCCAGACTCTGTTTCTCTTCATTTCCTGGTCCTTGCTTTTCTTGGCTTGTACATGATTACATTCTTCATTTTTCCCGTCTTCGATTGAAGCTTAGTCAAATGGAAGATGTTTTCTATTCTAAAATTAGCAACCCAAACCCGTTATCATAGCAGTTGGCAAGTTGTTCTTGGCTCTCCCTGGAGAGGCAACTGGAAGGGGTGGGGACGAACACTGGAGGCCATTCTCTGTCCAGAGAGGAGAGCTGTTCATAATTCTAAGTGCTCAGTGGCTCCAGATCTTGTTTGTTTTGTTTTGTTTTCTCTAGAAAAAGCAAGTCACTTGGATTTTTAGCAAGAGAGTTAAATATTTTGAACAATACCTTAATTCAAGAGAAGAGAGAAGGAGGAGAGAGAGAGAGAGAGAGAGAGAGAGAGAGCCTCTACAGACTCAATGGGACATAGCTCAGTGTTACGAGTTGTTTTCCACCAGCCTCGTCCCTCAGCCACGTCACCCCCAAATAACACACAGAGACACTGTATTAGATATAATGCTGTTGGCCTGTTATTATACTTCTTATTGGCTAGCTCTGTCTTAAATATTAACCCATTTCTATTAATCTAAGTATTTCCATGTGATCTTATCTTTCCGGAGAGAGGGGCCGGCGTTCTGCTCTTTCCCATCCTACATGTTGACTCTTCCTCTTCTATCTATCCTACAATCTCCTTGTCTCCTAGTCCCGCCTATCTTGCTTTCCTATTTGCCAACAGTGCTTTTTCATTAACCAATAAGAAAAACATATTTACAGAATGATATGTCCTATCAGCTCGGGCCTGTAGCCTTTGGTTCCAGGTAAATGTCCCCAGTGTATTTCCATTGTTGCTGTGTTTACTGTCCCCTAACAGCCCTTCTTTCCTTGCTTTCCAGAAAGAGATGACAGCCAGGATGTGTCACTAGCATTCCGCCTCATCTCCCGGAAGAAAGGAACACTCCCAGGAGTCCCCATGGGACAGGAAGTGGCTCTCCCTGGCTGAAATGGCCCCTACTTCCAGTACCGGAAGGCTGGAGCCCCACAAGGACTTCTGAAAGATGTCTCCTACCCACTTCGTGCGCTCTTAACCCTCTAAGTGCTGCTAGCCAGGGCCTGCAAGCCAGACAGACCACAGCATGAAGGACCGGCCTTGCCCCCTGAGGCTGAAGATAGTGCAGGAGAGGCCCCTGCATTTCCACCCATGTCATACCTCTGCCTGTGACCTCACCCCTAGGCTTTACTGGAATTCAGGTTTTGAGACTGTTGTTGTTCTTTTCCGCTTGTGTCTTACCAGACTTCTTGACTAACTTTTCTGTCATTTGTTTGTTTAAATACCAGTCAAATTTGGGGAATACCATATAATACCATTTTCCTATTCCACGACCTAACCTGCATCCCAGTCTCTGGGCCTGTGGCTTGACCTTGTATGCAGCTTGGAGCTGGGAAAGGCCTGCAGTTCTGGCAGCATCCATATCATTCCCTTGACAGGCAGTTTCACCAGGGACCATCTGATGGGGTGCATGATGTGTGCCCCAGACAGGCTGTTCACATGCTATCCATTGGGAAGAGTCTGGGGACCAGAAATAAACTGGTGTGTTACCAGTTTGCCGTGGTCAGAGTGAATTCTTAGTAGCCACTGTCATTTCTAAACTTCCACTGAAGATATACTTCCCCATTTCCCACCAGAGAGAAATAAAGTTTCGAATGAACAGTAGGACCCTTGAGCCAGATTAGTGCAGTGTTCTTTATTGAGGGGTAGTGAATCCTGGCTAACGGGACATATTATAATACTAAAATTTCAGTGACAAGGTGAGACAGTGGGTATTCGGTACATGTAGACCAAATACACTTGACTTGTAGCCTCTCCAGGTTGGCCCCAGAGCTTCTGAACCCAGCTGGTATCTTCTCTCCTTCCCATTTCCCTTCCTCTGCACCCTGTTTTCCCTCCCTGTCCCCCACTCTCTCTCCGTCATGTCATTCTCTCCTCTCTCCCCCCCTCTCTCTCCCCCCCCCCTCTCTCTCGTCTCTACTCCTTGTCCTTCCATCTCCTGGGTTATATGATGACACAACATTACTTTCTGTCCAGTGGGTGTGGTACAGTCCTAAGGTCTTCCTTCTGTCCATTCAGTTTGTTCCTTCCAGCAGTCAGAATAACCAAATATATACTTCCCTTCTTAATGTTTTCAGAGGTTTACCATCCCTGATTCCGTGCCACCTCCTGCCTGTGGAAGCTTTAGTCAATGAAACATTGCCTTCTCTGATTCACAAAACTATGGTTCTGACAGCTTGACTAAGAAGTCCTCACACTTCCCATGATACTTGATTTTTTAATAAAGTATCTGTTGGTGGAGGGAAGTAGATATGAATGTATTCTTGCAGTTAACATAGTAACAAGAGATGACTAAGATAGTTTTATGTTATTTAGTGTATATAATATGTTAAAGCCCTTTGTGACTGCCACAAAATCATGGAAAGCATGACATCTTTCCTAATGATGAAAAGGCCAGCTGTATGGGCTCAGTGGCATTCTACACGATGAAACCATGAAGAACAACCCTTCCTTCTTGTCTCATGGATGCTGTTTTACAAAAGCCAACATTACTACTTCTCTCTGTGTAATTGACTTGCTCTGATCTACAGGGACTTTTTCTTTTGCCCTAAGTAACTGTTAGAGGCCAAGATAGGCAATTTGGCCTAGCAGCATATTTGGCTAAGGGTCCAGAGAAACAAAGCCCTGAATTCCTGACCTATGCAATACACAGTAACAAAGATCATGGGTGAGCGATGATGACAATGAGGAATGACAGGCTGTGGCCTTGGGGAGTCTCTGCTGCTTTGTACCTTGAACAACTGCAGGACTCATGCAGTAGGAGGCAGAGTATGACTGCATTTCAGTAATGCTTAGCCAATGGGGAAGCCTGACCCTGTAGACATTTGGCATTTATTTCTAGTTATTTTTTATCAATTGATTGTTGTGCATGAAATTTCCATCCTGCTTAAAAATCTAAATATTTTTTTTTAACTTCTTAGAATGATTTTCTCTGGCCTGTATTGTTAATTGCACTAAGTAGCTCTTGGAGGAAATTCTACCCAATTGCTATCCTTTTTTAAAGTATGAGGTGTTCCTATTTCTACAGAACTTTGTTTGGCAGATTCTAAAGACAAATCTTCATGGGCTGTTTCTATGCCTTTGGCCTGGCCTCATCGTCCATAGTCTGTACTGTGAATGGAAGCTCCCTACAGCCCTGACACAGCATCAGGCCTGTTTCTGTCTCCTAATATCATTCTTCCTCCTTTGCTACATTTATTTTAACTTCAGGAAGATTCACAGTTGGAAGATTATAAGCACATTATGTCCTTTAAGTGTAGCAGGTGTTAGCATATCACCTTGCTTCTTTCTCACTGTAGATGCACTCATTGCTGAAACGTTAAAAAAAAAAAAAAATTTCGGTCTTAAAATACTTTATCCTACCCCTCCTGTTAGTAATGAGAACACTATCCTCTCCATCTTTAGTATCATAAACTCCAAGAGCCTAAAATGGATATTCAAATTCTTCCTCAAAAAGTTCTTGGTAGTTGATTTTCCTTTTCAAAAATCTAGAATATAATCAAAAACTACATATTGTATTTATTGTCATTGTCTTCATTTCCATGAATAGTTTGCCATTTCGTGTGTGTGTGTGTGTGTGTGTGTGTGTGTGTGTGTGTGTGTGTGTGTGTGTGTTATGATTGGCATTACTGAAGAACCTAAGCGGGTATGTTCTGGGACATGCCCACATTCTAGAGGGTTATATTCTGCTCATTTCCTAATTGTGAGATTTAGGGTAACAAGTTGAGGGTGAGAATTTCACAGTGATATTGCATCCTCCTTGCATCGTGTTAGAAAATGTGACTGTCTAATTGAAGGTTAATTAGTGGGCTCAGGGGTTATCTGCCTGAGCCAATTGGGTTCCATAATTCATTGCTAAACTCAATAATATTTATAGAATATGAAGCTCCAAATATATACTTCCCTTCTTAACGTTTTCAGAGGTTTACCATCCCTGATACTAAATCCTTTGCTGTTGAGGGTAAGACAATATGAAAGGAGTTAGACCTTTCCACTTAAGATGAAAAGGAGCAGGAATGTTTCATTTTTGAAACAATACGTAAGCATGCTGATTTCATGGAGGTGTGTATGATCCTACAGCCAGAGGCAAAGTGTGTGTGTGTGTGTGTGTGTGTGTGTAGGCACTCACATTTCCTTTAGTGACTTACCATTCAGACCCATAGTTTACTCATTGAGCTCAACTCAAATATTATGAGACAGTGTCTCTTTACATAGGCTTGGTTATCCCAAAACTCACTCTATAGACGTGGCTGGCCTTGAACTCACAGAGATCCTCCTGCCTCTGCTTCCTGAGTACTGGGATTAAATTTTCACAGTAGGTTGTGCCTCTCTGAAAGAAATGGTTAGGAATGGAGTTTTGTTTTTAAGATTTTGATAATTTTAAATAAACAACATATCCACAAGTCTGGGCACACTCTGAGACCACAAGCCATACATTTTTTATCCTAATAGATACTGATAGAAACCATCTTCAGATATTTCCAATCTGCCCTCTGAGGTAAAGGTTTGAACTTGGGATCTCTCAACCATGCCAGCAACATTCCACGTAGAACCTATTCTCCTTCTGTGGGTATTCAGACATAGAAGTTCTACAGAAACGTCTCTATGACCCACTGAAACTTCACAGCCTTGGAAACTTTCCATCCCAAGCCTGATAGTCCCTTTGAGCTTCAGCTTGTCTCATGCCCTATATTTAGGAAGGAGCCAGAGACTATGCAGTGGCATCAAGTGCTTAGTGAGAGCTTCATTTGCATATTCATCAAGTATCTGAAGACTAAGCCAATGGTCCTTCAGCCTGCCTTCAGCATCATCCCAGTCATATCTTCCTCTCAGAAGTTTTGCCATTCTATCACTAAGCATTTCTGACGTTGGGTTAGGAACTCCTCCAAAGCTTTCCCTATGTCTGTGTTATACACACCGTACACTGTGAATCTGATGAGAAATTATTTTGTGCCTTCTCCAGACCCTGCTGTGTTTTTGCTAGTCCAGGATATAAAAGAAATCTTTAGATTTTCTTACCTATTTCAGTTGACCTTACCAAACTCTAGCTAGGCTATGCCATTCCAAGTTCCTTTTCTTTCTACTTTTACCATCCTTCATCACAACACACTGGATTTGGTTGAAATTTTCCTTAACTGGAAAACATTAAGGAATTTGATTTATGACAATCTACTATTTACCCCATCCACTGTCACTGGTGAAAAGCACACCATTTCCAAAAATCCCTTAGCCTAAATGATAACCACACTAAGGTAAGGAAATATATCATGCCATCAAGAAATGGCAAAGGCATTCTTTGGATGATATGGTCATTCTGGCTGTAAAGAAACTAGTGATTCCTGTCTAGAATTAGCCAAACAAACTATATTTTGGAAATAATGATTTGTTTTTTCCTGGTTTTAAAATATTTTTATCAAAAACACTTTTGTAGCAAGCTATTTTTCTCTGGGCAGGTATTAAATATGGGTTAAAGAAAGTTTTCAATGATATGTAAAGATTTGTGTAACAGAAAATGAGTCATTTCTAATGCAGCAAGCTGTTTTACTAGCTTCTAGTGTTCTGCTCTCAAAGTTTTCCTGTCTCTTTTTTAAGTATACCTGAAAAATGTTAACTATATTTTTGTTCCATTTGTGATTCAGTTAAGGGTTTGACTGTGACAAAGCAAACTAACATAATTAAATCAATTAGAAGAGCTAGATACATCTAAAGAATATTTATCAAATAAATTTCTGTGTGAATTTAAGGATTCAAATGTCATGAATAAAAGTTACATAGTCACCTTCTAGTCTGTCTGCTTTATACGCCTAATTTGTCTAACAAATAGTTTGTCAGCCTGCAGTGTTGTGGGAAAGGGTCAATAAAAGGGAAATTGCTAATTTTACAAAAGCTAATTCAAAATTTGTTTGAAAGCACACATGGACTCATTTCAATTTTAACTAAGACCCTTTATCCTACTACAGTTTTCCAATAAGACATTCAGTATATAGTTTAGCTTCCCAGCAGATTACTGTCCTTATATGTGCTTTCTTACCATAGAATTTGGTATTAATTTGATGGTGATCTGGTATATAGAGATGACGTTGTGAGTCTTTGCATGTCCCCCAGGACTTGGACCTGACTGGAGTGGTGAGGAAATGAAGAAGGAACAGTTATACCCACAGATACAAAGG